CAGCCATCATTGTGTATAGAATATATGTCATTATATCACTTTATTTCTTCTGTAAGAAACAGTTTGTGTACAATTTTTACAGCTCATCTTCCATGTTAAGCTTTTTTTTTTTTTTTTTTTTTCCAAGGAAGCATAAAGAAAGGTGGTGCTAGATCTATTCTTGTAATTTCTGAGTTTGGCTTGTCATGCATCAATAAAGCATGATGTGTCCAGCTGTCCCCTGTTTAGAGTTACAGAAAACCCTGCTAAAAGCAGTTGCTTTTGGCAAGATATGCAAGGCACTTCTTGAGTGAAGAGGGAGAAAGTAATGCAAATGTTTTGCTGGTTATAAATCAAAGTCTTTATTTAACAAGAAACTTTTCTGTATCTTTTATGACAGTGGCTGGATACCAGAACATGCAATTGCTGCTGGAAGCATGTTTTCCAGTTGGATTCACTCATGCAACCTGACTGCAGGCAGCAGAGTTATTCTGGAGCAACCAAGAGCAGGGTTGACTAGGAAAGTCAGTGTTCAGAGCTTGCATATATTTGTACATGTATTATATGTATGTATATGACCTGTTAAAAAGCAAGGGTGGATGGGTGTGTTGCACATCCTACTTAGCACAACAAAGTAACTTAATAATTTTGAAAGCAAATACAACTCCTTCCAAGCCCTCAGTTTCTTTTAGAGGTCTGAGCAGTTCATTCCAAGCAGCCTTTGGATGACACTACCTTGTTCAGCCATGATTCCATGTATGCACAAATTATGGGAGAATTTTACTTGAATGTCTCAAAATGACAAATGAGGCTATTTTGCTCCATTGTGGACATGTGGGGTTAGTCATTAAGTAAAACATATTAGCTTAAGCCTCAGTGAAAGAGGTAGCAACAGGAATGGCTAATGGGGTAAGGGAATGGAAAAACAAGACATAAAAAGGGAAAATATCGAAAGCCCTTGTGGTAAAGAGTAAAGGGCTTCCTGACTGTCACACGCTGGTAAAGGCTTTGTGTCCAATTAACTGTACAATGGTTTTGTGCAAAAATTTCTAACTATAGTAGCTGGTTTGCTCTCACGGTAAATTGTTTCAGCCTGTTTCAGCAAGAGAGAAACTGTTGTGTATTTCGGCAGTTAGCAGAGTTCCCACAGAAGCAGTATCTACAAAGTCACAGAACCACAGCAATATGGCATGGCTGAGGCTGAAAGGGACCTAAAGAGGTCACCTGGTCCAACCCACCTGTTCAAATAGGTTCACCTAGAGCCAGTTGCCTAGGACTGTGCCCAGAAAACTTTTGAATCTCTCCAGGGAGGAAGACTTCACAACCTCTCTGGGCAACCTGAGCCAGTACTCAGTCACTCTCACAGTAAAAAAGTGTTTCTTGGTGTTCAGAGGGAACCTCCTGTGTTTCAGTTGGTGCCCATTGCCTCTTGTCCTGTCACTGGACACTTCTGAAAAGAGCTCGGCTGTCTTCTTTGCACTCTCCCTTCAGGTATTTCTATATATTGATAAGATCCACCCCTGAACCTTCTCTTCTCCAGGCTAAACAGTCCCAGCTCTCTCAACCTTTCCACGTATGTGTGGTGGTCCGCTCCTTTCATCATCCTCGTGGCTCTTTGCTGGTCTCTCTCCAGTATGTCCATGTTGCTGTTGTACTGAGAAGCCCAGAACTGGACACAGTACTCCAGCCTCACCAGTGCTGAGTAGAAGGGAAAGATCAACCCCCTCCATCTGCTTTAAATAATGCAGCCCAGGACACAAATAGACTTTGCACCAAGGGCACATTGCTAGCTCATGTTCAACTCTGTGTCCACCAGGACCCCCAGGTCTTTTTCTCCAAAGCTGCTTTCCAGCCCGGTGGCCCTCAGCATATATTGGTGCAGGGGGTTGTTACTGCCCAGGAGCAGGACTTTACACTTCCCTTTGTTAATGTAACATTGAACAAAAAATAAGAAAGGAGTTCTTGAAGTCACACTTCTTGTTGAATTTCAAGAGGTTCCTGTCAGCCCATTTCTCCAACCTGTCCAGGTCTCTCTGGATGGTAGCATGACACTCTGGCATATCAGTTATTTCTTCCAGTTTTGTGTCATCTGCAGACCCACTAAGGGTACACTCTGCCCCATCATCCAGATCGTTAATGAAGATGTTAAACTGGACTGGACCCAATACTGAAGTCCAGGCAGATGATATCCACTGCTCTCTCCTCACCTACCAGGCCAGTCATTTCATTGTAGAAGCCTGTCAAGTTGGTCAAGCCTGACTTCCCCCTTGGTTAATCCACGCTGATTACTCCTGATCATTTTCTTGTCTTTCATGTGCCTGGAATGGTTTCCAGGATTAGCTGTTCCATCACTTTCCCAGGGATCGAGGTGAGGCTGACTGGCCTGTAGTTCCCTGGGTCCTCCTTCTTGTCCTTCTCGAAGACAGAAGCAACATCTGCTTTCCTCCAGTCTTTGGGCACTTCTCCCAATCACCATGACTAATCAAAGATTATGAAGAGTGGCCTTGCAATTAAATCATTTAGCTGCCTCATGGGTGCATCCCATCAGGGCCCATGGATTTATGTATGTCCAGTCTGCCTAAGCATTCCCTAACTTGATCCTCTTCCATCAAAGGCCATTTCTCCTTGCACCAGATTATCCCCCTGGTCTCCAGGACCTGGGATTCTTGAAGGCCTGTTACATGCTGGGAAACAGCACCACGCCACTACCAGCAACACTGCAAGCTCCAAAGCTCTATCAAAGTCAGTGAAAAGAGCAACACTGACTTCTTATGCATTGATAACTGCCAATCCCATTCAAATTCTGCACATGCATTGCACCTTGCCAAGACAGGATGCAATTCACCTCACGTCTTGAGGAAGAACGTAAGACTTGCGGTCCATTCACACTGTGTTCAAATTATGACCAGGACGTGTACCAGCCTTGTTACAAAAGGTAACACTTAGCCCTTACATGTTTTAGATGAGCCGGGCTCCTTTCTCATTAGAAAAGCTGGCCAATTCACCTGCCAGATAGGCAGCCAAATTCTGCAATAGGAACTAGAAAGTAACACAAAGCCAGAAAGCCGGATGTTTTTCCTCAAACTTGCTTCAGATTTTTTCTCTCTTTGTAACAATCTGGCCCCATTAAATTAAGATATGTATCACTAGGTCTAATTAATATAAGATGCAATCTGAAACCTTCTACAAATTAGTACCAGCCTATGAGCATTTTCACATCATTATAAACCTTATAACAAAAAATAGACAAAATAAGCAAGGACATTAAATTTACTCACTTTCATTCAACAGAACTCACAGGCAGTGGTTTGGTCCCAGGGACAACTGTTCTCTGTTTATCACCTTCCTTTTCAGAGGCCTGGGCCACAGAATTCAGCTACTCTGGATTACAAAACTTAGACAGAATATGTGCATTTGGGTTGACATATGACAGTAGTAGCATTAAGTTTAGTAGATCTACCTTCTTGCACTTTTTAAACTATAGATTATCTTAACTAAGGCCCTCGCCAGCATAAACATCACACACGGGTTTACTGCGGAAAAATTAAATTGCTCCCTAAACAGATTTATAAGTGTGTGGCTTGACTCCAAATACTGCCGCTGACAACATCCACAAAGAAGCCACTTCCCTGTTACTTCTGAGAGGCTCATGTTTCTCTTATAGTTTGAGAGGAATTTGGGCTTGATCAGGGAGAGGTTGCTCTTAATTCACTCAACTGAGCAGCAGGTACATCAGAAGACTGCTTTCATTAGAGGAGAGAATGTTATCTCATGGCAGACAGTCATATCCCAAGTACAAATAGCCATACCCCAGTTTCTATGCTGTTAATGGACAGCTATTCCTATACTAATTAGTTTGTCTTTAAAAAGGAGGGTTTATTAGCATTGGCACAAACGCCTTGAGCTTCGGTGTTTAAACTGCTTTCAAACTGGAGCCAGCTGCAGGAGAAGACATGTGGTAGCACAAGCTATGTAAGCATAGCTGCACAAAGGCACCTGGGGGACAGGGCAGGAGGAAGGGCATGCCCTGACCCAAGGAGATCACTACGTGCCACACCATACACTATAGACCCTTTTACAGTTCCACCATCCATTTACACCGCAGCCATTCCAAAGAATGGTAAGGCTTCAAAAAAAAGTAGGTGCTAGAACATTACTTAGAGCAATGTTCTGAAGTTTAGCACCCACAGCACCAAAAGTACAGTATCAACTCAGACAACATGACTTCTCACAAAAGGCTGTTAGAGTGCCTAGAAGCAGCAACACCAGAATATTTCACTGGCATTAGAACTTAATATTTCACAAAAACATTTTACCATCTGCTAAATGCTGATGTTTCACAATTCAGTGAAATGTAACAGTCAGAGAAGTCTGGTCAGTTGCCTGCAAAATAATTCTTTTCATATTTACATATGAGAACCCACACTATGAGAATACGCTTACATCTTTTTCGAGAACTAACAGCAGAAGTTAAATATTTGAAAATGCTTGATTTTATTCACATGTTGGATTATTGAGGAAAAAAAAAAAAAAAAGTAAAGAATGACACTATGGTAGAAAATCCTCTAAATCAAAGTGAAGTAAGTTCCAGTAAGTCTATGTCCTTTGAGAGCTAAATAGTTTTTGGTATTTTCCATAAACAGGATAAATGCAAGCAAATGCATCAAAACATTTTGACATTACTGTCTTGCATCCAATATTTTGTTTTATTCAGTACATTTAAAAAGTGCACACTTTGTTTATGGAACAAAGCCAAGTTTCAATACTTTTATCCCTTTTAAACAATACACTGTTGGCTAACACAAGTTTCTCAGTACTCAACAGGCTGTATCAGATCAACTGTGAAATAGTTTTATTTTCCCTATTAAGTGGCTAGATAATAACTTCACTGTCAAGTATTTCTTTCAACTGAAACACAGGAGCCAAGTGGCCACGTAGAGGTTTTTCTTTCAATCCATTTTCCCCTGGATTTCACCCTGATAGTGTAACTGAAGAATTAACGTAATTTAAGCATCTCTGCACTAGGAAGACTCTATACACAAGAATCCACATTGTTCTTGTGTTTCAAATCTATTTTTATTGCCTCCACAGCCCCCGTACCAGAATTGACCACACATTTTCTGCTCTTTGTCATAGTACCACTTCAGAACTTAATTCAGACATTCTCCATTATCTTGACCAAGGTCACATGCATCTGGAAAAGGCAAATAAGAGACAGATTTAATGAAAGAAAGATTCATCCTTTTCAGCATTGTAATTTCAGGGAAAAGTAACATTCAGTGCAAACTGGCAGATGAGAGATGTAGCAGGTATTCATGGTCTTTCAAAGATTCATTACGTATTCATCCACAAACCCACAGTACCAGTGTGGCCTGAAGCCCCTCTTCTTACGATTGATGTAACCAGAAAGAATGTCTGAAACAACCAGATTTTCAGTGGCATAAACAGAAGGAATGCTAAAAGTTCTTTAGTCTTTTAACATAGACATTTTACTAAAATTATTGTAAAATGATTATACCTGTCTATAGGGACTAGGTAAATAAAGCTTTTCAGAATGTCCCTTCTCTTTATTCCTACTTGTTATACTGGTATCCATCAGTAAAATTTCATAAATGAACATACATAGATGGTTAAATTATCCATGACAGTTTCATAGACAAATCCCAGAGTAATACAGAAATAAATTGCATAAATTAGCCCCAAATTAGATGAGAATAGCATACTTCATAGCAATCTGTTACTCAGTCAGTACAGAGCTAATCAGCTTTCAACAACGTAAATTCAGAGTTACTCAAATGAAGTCAGAAGAGCAGCTCTAGACTTCGATATCTGTGTGACATTGAAAGGGAAGCACCAAGAAGTAAAGCAAAATATTGATAAGACTACTCAACCTAAAGATTTAAAATGACATAACCCTCTCATCCTAATCAACTGAAAAACAATAATCTCAAGCAACAGATGAGTACAAAGTACATCTCTCAAAAGGCAAGTTCTGGAATTTGGCTACATGTTTTTAGAAGTAAATTGTTGGGTCACTAATTACAACTCAAGATTGGGAATGGCAGTTCATACATCTCCCGTAAGTGGCTTAGATCACTGCTAAGGACATCAGTGCAATGACCCTGACTTAGAGGAAATATTTTATTTGTAAAGTATAAACAGTAACATATGCTGCTGAATTTTTTGTGTGACCACAGAGTTCATGCACTGGTTAATGGGAGCACTGATCCAAGATTTTACACATGCAGTTACGTGACGGGACCAATTCCGTCTGTGCTCAGCAAGTCAGTCATGCACTGTGGATGTATGGCATTCCCAGAAGTACATTAGCTCTTAGTTAAAGATCCAACATCAAAACAGTTTTGCAAAAGCATTTGTCCTCTCTTATCAGGGATGGGGCTACCAGACCATTTTTGCGTGCAGAGGGATGAAAAAAAGGGATGGCAGCTGTAGCAACGAGCTACCACACCCAAAGCTATGCAGACACCATTGCATTTTCTTTTCACAGAAATTCTCTCTAATTGTAGTCTAAATAATAAAAACACTCGCTAGTGTTAAAAGAACGTTGGTGAAAAATTATCTCACTACCAGCATCCCATACCTATTGTATTAAACAGCAAATCTGCAAAGAAAAAGGAATAATTAGGAAGCAAAGTAAAAAACATGAAGAATATATATTTTGATAGGATACCTCTGCTGAGGGATCCTGTTCTTCCTACAGGAACAGATTGTAGACATATTTAGTTCCCCCATGTTGAGCTAAGCTAGCATCAGGAGTAACTCAGTAATTACAGTGCAATTTGGGGATTTGAAATGATCAGCTGGTTTAGTAAAGAGGATTAGAACTTTGTATTCTATTATTACAAAAAGTTACAAATCAAAGCTAAGATCATAATAACAACTGCAGTTCAGCCTTTAATTACAAACTACTGTACAGATTCGGACTAAATACAAACATACGGTGACAAAATGCTTTAGAAAATATAATTAATGGAAATCCTTTATACTGCATAAATAACTCAGCCCTTCACAATTTAGAGTCTTTTTACTAAATTAAAAAAGATTTTCATATTCTAAAATCATACCATAATCACTATAGGCAGCTGTAGTTTTTACTGCTGCCTCAACATTTTCCTCATTCTCCTGAGCCTCCCCATACTCTTGTGGCTTTTCTCCTTCAGTATCTTCCTCTGTGAAATAGTCATTCTCCTCATAATCATATCTCATTTCTGGCATTGTGTATACAGGTTCTGTGGTGGTCTCTCTAATATTCTCCAGGATACTACTTTCAGTTCTTTCAATGTCTTCTAAACCATGACTGTAACCAGTTTCATCAGCTCCAGGAAATGGCATCCTTCCAAGGAGAGGAAAAAGAAAATAAATTAAGTATTTAACCACCAGTATGGCCTTGAAAAATGCACTTGGTTCACTCCTGAATACCGTGAAAAAAATTTTTGATCCCGATCCTGTTTCTGTTAAAGCTACTTTAAATATAACTACTAACGCAAAAGAAGAAGTCTTATGTACAGAGATACACACTCAAAAAGTTTAATAGGCAATTCCAAACCTTTCAATCATAGACACTTGCTGTTGTGTGTTTCCCTGATCTAAGTCTTCACACTCTTCTTGAAGTTCAGGTGAAGGATAACTGTTCATTTCTTCTGTGGGGAAAGCACAGACACCATGGGTGAGTTTTAAAGTCCTCCAAACCCCAGTATGTTTAATAAGAAGCATTACATGATTTTATTTGTTGTGAACTGGAGTGTGCATCTTTCAATAAGTAACACACTGTATCTTAGGGACTGACACTACCTCCAGGAAAATGAAAACTATGTTAGAGATCAGCTAGATGAGAATGACGCCCAAATCAACATTTTATACTTTTGCCTTGCTCTGTAATACACTATTTCTGCTTCAATAGAAGCTTTGACATCTCTATACATGCTTCACTTGAGGATTTTAAATCAGTGACAATTGTGTTGTGTCAACAAAGCCGCACATTAAATACAAACTTCAGGGAAAAAAACCTACTTAAGACTTTGGCCTAAGGCATCATTAAAATATAATGCTGTTCTGTCCTTACTGGCACTTCAATTAGTGTCCAGCATCAGTAGCAAACTAAAGATGAAAGACTGGCTAGCTAAATTATGACTGGAAACTGAATGATAGCACATATACCCTGGCTACCTTTTTCTACACAGCATTTCTCTTTCTTTCTGTAACTTAAGCAAATGCCATTGCATGCTACTTACGTTGTAGAAGATTTAGGAATGCCCGGCTAAACCTCTGAGCATACACCATCTCAGACGTTGAAACCCTACCCAGTGTCAGTAAGTGCTGGTCTGTGGGGGAGCCTGACAGCTCAATCAGCTGATTGTCACTCACATCGTTGCCAAGCGCAAGAGTGAACAAGGTGAATCCTTGGCACTTAGCTCCGAGGGAAATCTCTCTCAGCTTTTCTCTGTCCCATGTGCTTGTTTTACTTCCAACTATTGCAAATATGACCCTGTGTTTTCTTTGTCTGGGGGCTTTAAAGAACACATTTTCAACCGTCCACTGTAGGGCAGAAGCAATGGCTGATGGCCCTTCCAGTTGGTGAACGGACTCTTGTATATGTTTCTTCATCAATTCTTTATTGCTGTATGTGACTAGATCAAACTCCAAGGCCACTGGGGTCTGGTTCCTGTCAGGCAGGAAGCTCCTGGGAGCCTGCTGCACCACTGCCACTCTGATGCCTCCATATGATTCGTTTGGCTGTGAGGAAACGACAAACTGATCTAGCATGTTGCTCACAAAGTCTTTGGCTCTCTGAAACTCTTCAATGCTGATGCGGCGAGAGCTGTCCATGATGTAAGTTATATCCATATCCATCAGAACAGGGGGAGAAAAGGGCACCTCACAGTTGGTACTTGGTTTGCATTTATCTAGAGAGGAGAAGTCAACAGGCAGCAAACTATTTAGCAATACAACAAAAGCAATATTTTAGAAAAGAAAAAATCACACAGTCCTATTAATCGATTTTATTTTTCTTAAAGTTTGATTTTAAAAAAAATTCAATTTGGCAACTTGAAATCTTGTTGTTCTTGTAAAGAACAGCAGATGAGTCTTGCTGAACAAGGTTTTGAGATACCATGGGAAATCATTCAGGCATGAGAGCAAAAAACGTTCATGGCGTAAAAGTTAACAGATAAGAGTTCCCTTGAGAATCTTTTTTCTGTTGAAATCTAAACATTGTAAAAGACACTGGAACAATCTCTATTTTTCATTTCAGACCAGTGTTCAGCATTCTGAAATATTATTATTTAGTAGCTTCTCCCGCCCCCCGGTAGAATTTACAGTAAATGAGCCTAGTTCCCCAGAATCGTAATGTTATTTTAAGTCTGTTTCTGTTTAAAAGGAACTGCCAAACACAATAATTAATTTCACATGGCTGAGACAGCAACCAACTAAACAGCTTTTGTGGTTTTGAGATTCTAATTCTTACCATCCACTGAAGGGGAAGTTCAAATTGTAACTTCTCAGCAGTGGTAACCTGTAACCAAGGAATGATCTGGCATGGAGGGCAAGAAGGTCCAATTGCAGAAGGGATTAAACTGGCTGCAAGCAGGAATACCAGAGACAGAACAACTCTCTATAAGTGAGTGAAGTTTCCCTTGGTGATGACAAGAAACAGCCACAGCATCGTCTTGCAGCCATCCTGGAATTCCAGCATACAGGGGCCACCTTTGGACAGCAGAGCTGGGCTGAATCATCCCATGCAACCATTCACGGGATTGGCACTGGTGTAATTGTCTACAAGGAATCAACTCTTAATGCATCTTTGCAGACTCCTTGTAGAACCACCTACGGCAGAAGGACTCTGCCCAATGCATTGTTCATTAAATTATTATTTTTTTATATTTAAGCACAAACATGTTTAGGGCATACCATAAAAATTCCCCATCACCACACTGCAAAATAAAGTCTATAGAAATTTTTATTGAAAGGGTAAAAAGACCAATACAACACCTGGAATTTGTAAAATGTCTTACCAAAGCAAAGCGTACAGTCTGTGATGCTCTCCAAACTTTCATCCTGTTGTCTTTCCCAAACAAATAATCGAAATCGTCTAGTATCATCAATCTATGTTTTAAAGCAGACACAAACATAACATTAAAAAGATAGAGGCGAACTACAGATGTTTTCTCTTTGTTCTTAATACTCAAAGTCACTACTATTTTTCTTAAAATAGGTACTATCCCTAAATGAGTGGTTTCACTGCTATTGTATTATTGAACAGGTATACAGAAGACGTTTTCAGTTGCCATTCTGGAGCATTTTGATTGCCCTGGAGCATTACAAGGAAACCGCTTTGTGCCTATAGGTTTAACTCCATGCTGTGCCATACAGAGGTTGCCAGGTTAGTGTAGCTGCTAATGACAATTAATTGGTGTTAGCACAGCTTATTAGCTAAGAGTATTGCATTAAGACAGTCATGATAGATTATTCAAAGCTAGCTCACATATTTCTGCATGGTGTGAACTTAGGTTCTCTGTTCACACCCATTTTACATGTCCTCTTTCTGCTCTTCCTAGATCCTAGATTAGGTAGGGACTCAACTTTCTCTGTTTATATGCATATGGCTACCCAGGTCTTGACTGGGGTGGCTGTGTGCTACTGTAATACAAATGAGGGGAAAAATGAGTCATTGAGGGTTTGCAATTGAATGCAAATGAAAGAAAACCCTCATGGTTTAAACTCATATACCAAGAGCTTTCTGCAAAGGTCACCATATTCTCCCCTTGACAATGCAGAGCACTATATTCTGGCTTGAAAAATACTTTATTTTTAAAAAACTGGGAGACAGCCTTTATAGGTGTGAATAGAAATCTCAGCAAAGGTAAAAGAAGTTAAGACTTGGTTTTGTTTGTTGGTTGTTTTTTTGTTTTGTTTTGTTTTTTTGCCAGTGAAGGGTTATCACATTTTTTTCTTTTCTTAGTGGGGTGCTACAAAGTAAACAGCAGGATCTCCTATCTCAGCTCTTTCTGGGACAAAGAGAAATCCCCCACAGTTAAAACGTTTTCTTGGGAGAGAAAATTCTAGCATTAGAAAGTTCTAGCATTGTAACAACCTATGTGTTGCCTGTGATCAGCTGAAGAAAGACAGTCTTCCCCAGTAGAAGATTTGACCACAGAAATGCTTGAGGAACCCTGAAGAAGCTCCAACAACATCCTACAATTTCACTGACCACCCAACCCCAACCAAATGTAATTCAAGGGAAAAAAAACTTCCTTGTGGACTAAGGCAAATAAAAATGGCTGTAAAATATCATAATATTGCAGGAAATTGACTACATATATGGATAAGCTAAAATGGTGAGGAAAGATATAATTACTTCTTTGCATTAAACTTAAGCTTTGTGTGTGTTATATACAACATACACAGCACAATTAACTACTGATTAATGTCTGTAAAGGATGTCATAGATAGGCCTCTTCAAAGGAATTAGAATTGGCAATGACTGTTTAAGTGAACTTCAAACAGAGTCTCCTAAAGCAAACTAACCAAAGCCAGTAAGTATCTGTGGCTACAGGTTGGTAGGATCATGAAGATTAAACCACCTGTCAACTGCAAGGACAGAAGTCCATCTGAAAGAAATAAGGGAGGTTGTATTTTCTTGGGTGCTGGTGGTGAGGTTGGTTGCCTTCCCATCACTGTAACCGTAAAGGAGAGCTGGGCAGTGAATTTTTTGCCTTTTCCCCTCATAAGCAGCTTTTTTAAACCTTTCTACTCTCAAAACTGATTAATGGAAAGTCGGCACCTGTGTAAATACCAAATGTCGTCATATGCATTCAGATTTGTAATCTGCTTATACTAAGTAAACAAAACACTGATGTTTGCTCCTGTTTATCCTGTGGAGCAACCCAGTGAATAAACTGTAAGATTCCTTCTCATGTGCCAGCAGAATTTTTTCATTCTGCTAAATTAACATTCAGCCAAGTATGTGAATTGACTTATAGATATGAGGCTGCATGAGAATAAATGTAATACGAAGATTAAAGGACTGACTTAGATGCTACCAGATCAGAGCTTAGACTCTTAGACAAAAAGTTTTGCACCTTTTGTAAGTAAACATAGGTTCCTTCTATAAGGATAATTTTTAAGAAACAGCAGCTGGAAGGAATTTTATTTTGCAAAAGTTAAAACTGAGCACAGATGATACAAAAATAAATTGAAAAAAGAGAGAACATGGAACCCATAGTATGAAACCTTAAGGAAACTTAGAACTGTTTTCTTTTGGTACCTGGTAAAGTGGATTGGTTATTTTTGTTTACTATATTTCTATATGAAGTCATATTTTTAAAAAAAAAGTTGTTAATTTTCTCCTGTACTAATGGCAATACAGCTATCAAAAGGTAAGCAAATGGGTGAGTGGCTCAATTCTCTATAGTCTATCTACTTACTGAGAAAGCACGTCTGACATTTGGCACTTCACTGAAGGCAATAACCACTGGAGTGATATCCAAGGCACTCAACTCAAGTACAGCTGTGCTGATGGCAACATCATCCTGTGATGGACCATTGGCAAAAAATATGGCAACTTTTCTTGTGAGGATGCCCTGACGAATACGTTTGAAGACATTTCGTGAAACAAATCTCATGGCTGCCCCAATATTACGTTTTCCAGTGGATCTCTCCAGCGGTATTCTCTGGACTGCTCGTAGCAGCAAGCTGTTTTTTTGGAATTCTGAGAATCGGATGAGATATCGTGTATTGGTGTTGAAAGAAACAACAGAGACACGAGCGCCTGTTGGGCAATTGCTTTCACTGATCTTAATGGTCTTCAGCAATAACATAACGATGTTCCTCATTCTTTCAAATGCAGCTGACGTAACATCTTCAGACATATCAAAGGCAAACACCACTTCAGTTGGATAAACTGGGCATGTGTCTGTATATTGAAATAAAAAATTTGTGTGAGAACCTTTCCACAACTCACTGTTAGTTTTTTCTTCAAGTCTATAAAAGAATGGACATGCAGAGGCCAGATGGGCTTACCTGATGAGCAAGCTGGAATGAAGAGGTGGAGAGCAAATAAATTATTTTGGACTCATATTCATTAAAATAGTGACATATACACTTGCTTTCACTAAAGAGCCTGATCCAAAGCTCAGACAACTGACAGAATCTGCCAGTGAGAGACAACACTGCTCTTCTACAATCAAATACTCAAAACAGTGCAATTTTACTGGATGAGAATTAAAAAAAACAACCATATTCTGGGTTCTGCTGAGCACACAAGTCTAAGAGAGAACGAACACTCCAAATCTGGAGGACAAGTGGTATACAAATACTGTCTTCTCACAGAGAATTCCCCAAAGAGGGCTGGCACAATGCCAAAGAATTAATTTATTCTTAAATGAGGACAAGAGACATTTGTTATAGCTTTTGAAACTACGTGATAGGAAAAATGAGCAAAAACCATAAGCCTGTTTCATACACCTGCTGAAAACCCCTCACAGTTCATTATTACCAGTCATGATCAAACTGAACCCATATGCAAACTACTAGTCTAAAGGGTTTCCAATGGAAGCTATTCCCTTTAAGAAGAGTGACTAGGTGGAATCAGAGGGAAAAGAAGATGCTCCCTACTTACGGCAGTTTTTTCGTGTAAAATTCACAAGTTCACAAGGCTGCAGGACCAAGACAAAAAAGCAATTAGTGGCAAACCCCAGACCATCCCAGACTGGGAATCTTACTACCGGTTTGAGCTGAAGGTCATATCCCAGCTCCTGAACTAATTCTCACTACTGTAAATCCAGAATCACACATTCCAGTTCCTCTTCATTTCAGATAGTACAGGGGGCTCTGCCCCTGCTGCAGCAACTAAAGTTTTTTTTGGACATGCTCTGGAACATTAAGCAACCTTTACTAAGAAGTGTTCATTTTACATGGGATTAGGACTCTGAAGAATAGCCCTGCTATTCCCAGTAAAAATAGCTGTTGATAAGGAAATGCCTTCCTTTACAAGAAGGTGAAGAGTAACCCTAAAACTGAGCTGGTGTGTAAACTGATGTGAATGAAGAAACAAATAGAGGAATATTCATGTTCCAACAGTTTGTAAAAGTTTGGTCGCAGCATTAATCCATATGCATAGCTGTTTCTCAGTCCTTGACTATTTGCAAACCAGAAACACCCACTGCACTCTGACAAATATTTGAAAAGGATACGGTTTTCTAACAGCTAATTGTGCTCACTGCAATCAGTGCTTATAAATGGAAGTCAACTAAAACTGTTAGTTCCACGCAGTGTGCAGTTAGCTGTAAGGTAATTACTTACTTCCATTACAATGGTGCCCATTGGTCCCTTGGCACCCTGAAACAAATTAAACACAGGTCCAGAAAATCAGATCCTCATAACATATTTCCATCTATGGCTCTGTAGCCCAAAGAAAATGCAGGCATACAGTGTTTCCCTGATAACCATTTGTGAATTTGAAATATGAGGAAACATCAGTTCCCAGCATGGACTTCTGTGGGCCTGTTCCCAACAGACTTGCAGACTACTTCTCAGACCTCTTTCTCAGTTCATTTTCCTTCCTGGTTTTATAAATGTTCAATACTTGTTGCCCTTGAGGACCAGTATAATTCAAAATTGGATTTCCTTTCTAAACCAGCAATTTCTGTGCTGTGGTTCAGTTATCTGCACCTTACATCCTTTTCAACCTCTGTGTGATAGCTCGCCCTCTACTCCTGCAGGGTACAATCCCCACAGTTCTACCTTGAGAGACCCTACAAGACCATACACACATCATGATTGCTCAACCAGTCTCACTAGCTTTGGCTACTCTGCAGCCTTCTCCTTGGGAGCTGTGGGCAAATGCCAGGATTCCAAGCACCTTTTTTCAAAATAAAATTACTATTTAATCTTCATAACAGGAATAAAATACAGGGAAATGAAGCAGCTTGAAAGTTTTCATCACATGTGCAATTCAGATGAGTAGCAAGACTACTGAAAATTCTCACTTACTTGCAGGGGGCTGCAGTGAGATAGATACACCAGAAAAAAATGAACTCCATATCCCACAACCTCTACCTTAGCCTCTCTCTACTGTAACACTACAGTTTACCAAAATCATATACTTCCTTACGTCCCCAAATTACAAGCCCATCTCCGTATTTGTTGCTTTCGCCTCCAATTAACCTTCCATTCCTCCATTTCCTGCCTGAGATACTTTCCTTATCTCCTCTGCTGTCTTACTGCAACACTATCACAGCCATTCCATGCTTTTATCTTCTTATGTTTCCCAGCAGGTCCCAGTTCTTTGGTACTGTTCAGCAAGAGTTAACTGTGAATTGCCTGAGCCCTAATGAATGTTACTTGCAGCAGCTTATTAGTGGTGATTGAGCTGTGCATACAGATGATCAAGCCACCAAGTTAGAAAGGATGGGTATAACAGGCCTATTTTGGCTGGCACTGCCTACTACCTATACCCCTTTCTGCATCCCTACCTCTTCCACTTCTCACAGAATTCCCACCTTCCAATTTCACTGATGGACTGCTACTACAATAATCCCACCAAGCCCATACCTCCCAAGCTCTACTCTCACTTCTACACCTGAAGAGGAGATCTTGAGCTTGAAATCTCTCTGAAGGCTTCTTGGACAATGGATTGGCAAGGTCAACAGCTATCTGTCTTATCAACACATAAGGTCTGTCTGTCTATAATGTATGTGAGCAGCCAAGCAGCAGGGAGGGCAATACATTCCAATTGGCACCCTTGGTCATTCTTGTGCCCCACATCATAAAATAAAGAGGGCCAGGTACATTAATGGACCAGCACAGCGTAATGACAAAAAAAAAATATAAAATAAATGTTTTCCATGTTGCATGTATCCCGTGGGCCATGTTATACAGGTAAAGACACTGTTATCAATAATGTTCCATATTTAAACTGTAAGAGTAAGCATAAGAAAGTTTCACAAGAAAATCATTAACAGTAGGGATTGTTTATGGTCACCATGGAGCTGATCTGCAGAACTGCTGCAAGATAGACATATACAGGGATTTTCCTAACTGCCTACAACGTTAGTCCTAAATCCTACTGAAATCTACAATCCTTTCCCTTGCTTAGATAGAGAATAAAACTTTTTGTTGTATAAAATGCAGATCACAGACACTGGAAAAGTACATCAAGACATCTACTTGTACATAAGGATTAACAGGTTACAGTCAATTTAAGTTTTAAGTAAGTGCCTGTACTTGCAAGTCTGATTTTAAATGGCTTTTCTTTTAAAAAGAAAAAATACATTGGCTTTCAGCAGAACAATCGAGTTTTATATTTTAGTACTCTATTCTTTTTTTACTAGATAGTTACCCAGCCTAAAGATGACACCGAATACTGTGGAAGAAATTATGTCCAGCATTGTATCTTTACAGTTCCATTTCCAACAGCAGGTGCTCTTGTGCACACACATCCACAGGCAAGACATAACTCTATACAACTGCCAGTCTGATTAAGCATAGTTTACCACATGAAACACTACTAAACATTCCATTAACCTAATAGCAAGTTTAAGAGCAGTCTAAGAGTTATTTTTAAAAATAAAAATATATTACCATAGGTCCTGATGGCCCTTGGTCCCCTGGATCTCCCAGGGAACCTGGTGTACCAGCATTACCCTAAAAATAGAAATTCAAGCTTTATTTTTTGTAATTCCACACACAGGTGCAGAATTTCATCAAAGAAAAACCTCAGTGTGAGTTGGATCCTGCATTTACATAAAGATAAACTACTAGCCCTGAGAATTATTAACCACAAACATCTCTAAAGACTTAGACCAGCATTCTCTCAAGACCTTTTGCCCAAGATATGGCAATAAAAGGTCAGAGTGGGAACCAATTTCAAAAATGTTTGGTGAGGAAACACTTAAGACATAGGGGCTTTACTTATGGAACTCTTCACAGCGTTAACAGATTTATCATCCTTACTCTTCTACCCCTAACTCCTTTGGGTCCTTCAGCTCCTGGAATGCCTGGGTCTCCATCTTCTCCCTGAAAATTAATGAAATCCAGAATTTCACAAGAAAGGAGAAGACACACAGAAAGACAGATAACCACTTCCAAACAAGAATAATGTAAAACAAAACATAAAGAAAGCAAACACGCCCATTTAATCATACCTCTGAACCAGGATATCCTATGAATCCAGATTCTCCCTAACAAAAGAAAGGACAAAGACTTCATAAGAATCTTGAACTTTGTGATCTGCTTAGTGTTTGATGTCTTCAAATGAAAAACAATTTCAAAATCATTCTTAGCATTCCACCCCATGCAAGTTACAGTGGCCTGTTACTCTAGTCTCAAATGACACAATTTCAGATTAACACCTTGTTCATCTAAAGGAAGAGCATTTAAAAAATTTCCATCAGTTTCTGAATTTTCAAGAGTATTCCATTTCTCAAATAAGTGTTTTATCGAAGCTTATTGAGGCCTCCTAGTAACATACAGTGGAATTCATGTTCAGCTATTTTAAGTGATGTATAATATTCAGAACTCAGTGTTTGAAAGGAGTTTCAAAATGTTGTACCCTCCATACTAAACAGCGATACCACAATATTTTGTTGGCATATTAGAAGTCACTTCATTAGTTGTTTTCGGTTACTTCAGTTTTTGGTGTGTTCCTTGCTCGTATGAGATGTCTCACAAAGACCAATCACAATTGAAGTGTATCTTTCCTTGACATTAGAGTAACTATCAGAATTCACACTACTTAACTTATGTCCTTGTTTTAAGAGTTCCCTCCCACGGAAGGAGGCATGGTTATCAAAAATCATATTACTTTATCCCACATTTTCTAGGAAATTCCATGCACATAGGCCCCACATCACACCTAAGAGAATGTAATGTGACTGTGAACCTGTATAATTAATAGCAACCTTAAATAAAATCTATTTTATACTGAAGGCCGCTCTCTTAGCTGTCAGGGGAAAACAACTCTTTCTGGATCACTATTCTGGGGTGAATTGTTTTTTTGTTTTTGTTAATTCCTTTAATTCAGGCCCTGCCAAATCTTGGGCAGACACATCAGTGTATAAAAAGGGCTTTAAGTCAATCCTTTAAAACAGTGAATAATAACAAGAAGATTTAACAGAAACCTTTTTTCTTCATTTCTTGTAATAAGGAGGATGTTCCATGAAACGAATGAGTGGGAGATTTCAAGAGATGAAAAGAACTAGTCTTGCATATAACATATGCACAACCTGTGAAACTCTCCCATCAAATGAAATTGTTGGGGCTAAGAAGGTAAGAAAAGAGAATAATAAGAAGCATTGAGCTATTTTAATAAAAAGCCATTTTAGAAAAAGGAGCTCATCAGTTGGAGAGGCTCCTAGGAAGCCTTTCGTATCTTTTCTGCAGCTTCTGCAGCACTCTGCTTCTTCCACAAAAAGGGAGAGTGAAACAGATGGTCCTGCAGTGAGATCCATTGGACCACTTCTGTTTCACAAGCAATGGGAAGGGATTAGTATTGTAACACTACACAAACTCTTTTAAAGGAGGACTGCAGCTGTTTCCAACATCCTGACCATATTGCTCATGGACTGACCCATTGGTGCCACTGGTCCCATGATTTTGACCTCATACTTTCTGTATACTTTTTATTTTAGCTGGATTCTTGTACATTTTTAGAGACATAGGAATTTCACTGCTATTTTTTCAGGGCTGTGAAGGGAATGACAAGAATTTCTAAATAGGTAGCAATCCAGAGGGTAATCCTCAGATCTTATTGCTGACCACAGGAGCACAAGGAACAATATTTCACATTAAAACAGTGAGGATGTTTGGAGAGTATCACCCTCACCTTGGTCGTCAGGGAATCCCTCCTCTGAAAGAAGAAAAGAGTCCAAGGTGGCTGGCCCACCAATACTTGCCAACAAGAGTGGCTAGTCAAGCAGACTGAAGCTCACCATGTACTTCAAGAAGTACAATCCCCCATGTCCATATAAACACATCAAGGGAACAAAGAATATCCTATTGCAGAATTTTTCACAAGGATGGTTGTAGGAAGGCTGAGCCTCTTACTGAACCTCAGAAATGCACTGAGGCTGCGTGTTACATTTCTCTTGAATCAAATATGGATGGTCATGTTTGATTTGACAGTGCAGAATGGAGACTGTGAGACATCCTGACTCTCAACACTCACCTTTGCTCCTTTGCTCCCTTCAGGACCATAGGCATCTCTGCCATCCATGCCCTGCATAGGTTGAATATACTATGAGTTAGCTTTTAATAGAGGATTAGATTCACAACCAATTCCATTTTGCAATAAAGCCCTCTCATTACAACGAGATGTCCAGGTTGTTTGGACTGACAAAGTAGGGCAAGCTATCACAACACAGTCTAAAACTAGTAGCAAATGGTGGCAAAATCTGTAGAGAGAAAACAAAGATCAAGGTCACAGTTCCTGCCAACTGTGTGCCCTACCGCTAGCACATTCTCTCTCTTGTAGGGAACCTGAGGGGGAAGATATTCTCTCTAGCCCACAAGGAATCTGGTGTCCATAACGAAACCGAGAACCAAATGTGAAATAATTTTAATTGTATCAAATAGAGAAAATAGAAGGGAATTAACAGTAGTGATTCAGATGGATGGGTATTAAACTACAGAGGCCCTGAATTAGGGCAGAAAGACTCACAGGCATGCCTCTCCATCCTGCTGGTCCCACTGGGCCCTTCTCTCCAGGGTCACCAGCTTCACCCTGTTATAATTGAAACATAAAAGGTATTAGTTTGTCTCATTCAGGAGAATTCTTCTTTCCAAAATGCAAACTTGTCTGCTAGACTGAAGCGTGCTATTAAATTTTATAGACCACTTGATGCTGGTCAAAAGCATCCTATTAACAGACCATGTTTCATGTTCCTTGGGGTGGAACTGGAAAGTACTTGGCAAATCAGAATATGCTGAGCATTCATGCAGCTAAACCCCAAAGGCCTTCATCCAATTAAACTCCTATTGTTACACAGAATAACCAGTGAGAAGATTGTTTTCTGGAAAAAGTTATATTAATGGTAGCAGGACATAGCCTGGAATTCTACCAGCCTGAAGCATCTGTTGAGAGCAAACAGTATTTCTCAGCCAGGCTGTTTGCACTGTGCTCTTAGTCTTCCTGCAAGTTTTCTTTTCTTGAGTTCCTTTTGTGGTTTTCACTTTCTCAATGAACTTTCTTCTAACAAGAACTCCAATATTAAACAGCGCAAAACCAGACTGAGAAAATGGAATGTATGATGGATTAAATCCCTATGTTTCTTCCTCATTTTTGTCACTGTCTCACTGAAGGTTTTCACACAGTGACTCTTCTTATAGTAGCACTTTGACCTCTTTGACCTCAAAGAGGCTGAAAGGCTTAGCTAACTGGTATTACTTATGCCTTTTAGATACAGAAATGCAACAACACCTAAAATGAGTTATTTTTATTTAATAAAGTAAGTTTCCCATATCAACAGCCATTAATGAAAGGAAAGTAAGTGATAACACTTATAATAAGTAAGTGAACGATAATATGGACCACTCATTAGTATAAGCCTTTCTGTTTAACTTCATGTTGATTCAGTTCACCTCAACACATTCATTCCTGTATAATAGACATCATAACAGTCAAGGTTCCTTGAAGTGGTTAGGAATCTTTAGAATAAAAAGGTTAAAATAAGCAGCTATGCTTCATTGAACTGGAAAGTTCAGATTGGCCATTAGGAAAAGGTTCTTCACTGAGAGGGTAGTTGGTCACTGGAACAGGCTCTGCAAGGAAGTGGTCACGGCACCAAGCCTGTCAGAGTTCAAGGAGTGTCTGGATGACACTCTTAGTTATATGGTTTAGTTTTAGGTAGTCCTACAAGAAGCAGGGAGTTGGACTTGATGATTCTTATGGGTCCCTTCCAACTTGAGATATTATGACTAAGTGGTACATATTTTCAATGGATTAAACAGATTCTAGGAATCATAAAACAAGCTCAAGGGTCAGCACTGCCATATCCCTACTGCATTTTATGAGACTCCAGGCTCCACTGAGAACCATGACCACAACAGCAATTAGAACAGCAGTCATGGCAACACTAAAAACTTCTTAGTATAGCTCTGACACCCATAAGATTTCCTTGAACACATCACTTGCCTTCCCATGCAATCTAAAAATGTCTATAAAACTTAACATTCTTCACAGGTTCCATATGAACAACACAAGTGTTAGTTCATGCTTCTTCAGGCAGATTCTTGAATGAATGATGCTGTTAGATTGTTGTAATTAGGTACCTTAAAAATCTTTACCTTTGCTCCTCTTGCACCTAACTTCCCAACAGAGCCAGGTGAACCTGGGGCCCCCAGACTAGCCTGTAATCAGAAATATCAACTGAAAGGTACACAATGAAGACTCAAGGGCTCATCACACTCAAGGATTCATTGTCACTTGAAATTATTACAATCAGTATAAGTATTAGCACAGTAACAGGATTTTGAGGACCACAGTAAGAGTTACTGGTCAAGCTATCATTCTAGTTACTTTCTGCTTTCTGTATGACTACTTTAAAATTCTAAAAATGTTATTAAGTATGACATGAATGTTATTTTCTATCTACATAGATACCTAGTGAATACATGTATATGTGCACAAACAATATGAATATATATACACACACATACAAATGGGTGTGTAAGCATAAGCATCATTACATGACTGAAGCAGATGCCCAAAGCTGACAGAGTAGGACATTCCAGCCCTGAGTTACTATGGTGTAACTCCAAAGTAAGAACCCCTGAATCAACGGCATCACACAAGTGAGAACATCAGCAGTCAGTGCTCAATAGTTACGACCTCAACATACCCTAGCATTAAATCTCACAGGCCATATTTTAATGAAACCACTGACCGTTATCTAACTTTGCCCTCAACTACACCACAGTACATCTGGATTTATACATGCTGCAAGCCATGCTGTTAGTCCTGATACTATAGAGAAACTGTCTGCTCATGGCCTGGACAGGTGTACTCTTCGGCTGGGTAAAAAAACTGGCTGGATGGCTGTGCCCAGAGAGTGGTGGTGAATGGAGTTAAATCCAGTTGGTGTCCAGTCACAAGTGGTGTCCCCCACGGCTCGGTGCTGGGGCCAGTTCTCTTTAATATCTTTATCAATGATCTGGATGAGGGGATCGAATGCACCCTCAGTAAGTTTGCAGATGACACTAAGCTAAGCAGGTGAGTTGATCTGCTTGAGGCTCTGCAGAGGGATCTGGACAGGCTGGACCAATGGGCCGAGGCCAATGGTATGAGGTTCAACAAGGCCAAGTGCCGGGTCCTGCTCTTGGGTTACAACAACCCCATGCAGTGCTACAGGTTTGGGGAAGAGTGGCTGGAAAGCTGCCGGGCAGAAAAGGACCTGGGGGTGTTGGTGGACAGCCAGCTGAACATGAGCCGGCAGTGTGCCCAGGTGGCCAAGAAGGCCAATGGCATCCTAGCTTGTACCAGGAATAGTGTGGTGAGCAGGACTAGGGAAGTGATCATCCCCCTGTACTCGGCACTGGTGAGGCCCCACCTCGAGTACTGTGTTCAGTTTTGGGCCTCTCACTACAAGAAGGACATTGAGGTGTTGGAGTGTGTCCAGAGAAGGGCTACGAAGCTGGTGAGGGGTCTGGAGGACAAGTCTTATAAGGAACGACTGAAGGAACTGGGGTTGTTTAGCCTGGAGAAGAGGAGGCTGAGGGGAGACCTTATCACTCTCTACAACTACCTGAATGGAGGTTGTAGAGAGGTGGGGTCTGACCTCTTGTCCCTGGTGTCAAGGGATAGGACGAGAGGAAATGGGTTCAAGTCATGTCAGGGGAGGTTTAAATTAGATAATAGGAAAATTTTTTTCACTGAAAGGGTTATTAAACATTGGAATAGGCTGCCTAGGGAGGTGGTGGATTCGCCATCCCTGGAGGTGTTTAAAAAAAGGGTAGACGTGGTACTTGGGGACATGGTTTAGAAGTGTTTTTGTCAGGGTTGGTTAATGGTTGGACTTGATGATCTTAAAGGTCCCTTCCAACCTCAGCAATTCTATGATTCTATGATAGAACTGAGAGTGGAACCTAGAACTAAGGCTTTTCATTACAATCATGCAAAAGCTTTGTAATACTGAAACTCACGTCCCTTTTCACCCACCTAAACTTATTTTCAAAGCTGTTACTTTATCATATGAGGCTGCAAATCAGTTTCCTTAAGTACTATACTGAAAAATCCTCAGTTTCTTCTTTCTGTAAGTTTTTTAAAAACTCTTTATAGGAATAATATCAAGAATGA